TATTAAAAAAAAATGGAAATAGACTTTGCAACACACGTCAAAGTCGGATTCTTTCCCAATGCGGTTTGTCCCTGGCTTCTGGACCCTGTACAGCGCTTGTGAAGGAACAACGTGTTGATATATATAATTTCTTAGTATTTAAATTGATAAATTTAAATACTAAGAGGCTTCATCTGGTCGGAAAGTACTCCCAGAGTACCCAAAGGAGAGACAAAGTCCAGCCAAGTTGAACCAGGCGATGGGGGGAAAGGGACGGCTGGGATCGCCTCTAGCTACCACGTCAAGGTCGACCAACCCCAGGGAAATTTCTCGTGCACTCTCTCGGCCTCTGGCCTTGGGGCACCGGCCAAATCTAACTCCATCGAACGGGGAAGGTTTGGAACGAGAAAATGGGAAAACTTCTCCGATATGGATGTATTTCATCGCGCTTCAGTATGGGCATAGAGTGGAAGAGTGAAAAACACATTGGATTTTAACATGTGAGCCGAAAATACGGCTATAGCCGTCATCCATGTGAACCACCTGTGGAACAAATTGGCCACTGTCGTCCACACATCTCATAATATTAAATCAGCGGGAACATAGCGGGATGTAATTGACTAGACTTAGAATGCTGTCATGGTTGATCCTCCGCGAATTACAGCAATAGGTTTCTGATCGGCATCAATTCACGCATTCACATTTTCTCCAGACCCTTAGGACAAAGCCGCCTAAGTCAGGGTTGTGCCACCCGCGGTCCGCGGGTCGCGTGTGGCCCGTGGACCTGCTTCTTGCGGCCCAGTAACGCAGAATGGGATAACAGATAAAATAAGCTTATTTGCAACCCAAGGAACATCAAAACTTTGGTCATCCCTTAGTAACTAAACTAGAAATAGACTGAATCCATTCACTTCCTTCCCCTAATTATTCCTCACGCAGGGGCGCTACATATGTCGCGAGGAATGAAGGTTCCCAATGCCAAAGGATAATTTTGTGGGTTAATATAGATGTCACTGTCGATCCTGCACCTAGCGTGTCCACATCAACAACTTCTCCATGGCCGAGCAGCGGACTCGACGAGACACACGTTGATGGATCCCATTGGGTCGAATCCCCGAACGAATCGATTCCCGATTTCGCTGCCACGAAGCACGCCTCATGGAAGTGTTGTTGATAAGCCACCAAACGTCTCTGTAATATCCCCCCCCCTCGCAGTGTCGCCTCAAGCTATACTCATTCTCTAAGCTCGAGGTGCAGGCGTCAACGATGAGACCACCTCCCCTTGCCAGTCCCAGAGGACGATAAAGGACGAGGGGCCCAGGGAGCTAGGCAGCAGGGAGGGTGGGGGTGGAGAGGTGAAGAAAATACAGGAGCGAACCTGGTGTTCGGTGATACATGGAGGGTGAAGTACCTTTGTCTTCCGGGTAGGTGTTAAATCAGACGTAGTTATATCATTCACAGGCACTCAAACACGCATGGCCTCACACAAATTTATGTCCTCGCTTGGACCACAAGCCACTATGTACCTCCCACTTCATGGAAACAGAAGGCCCATCCACAATTTAGTCTGCAAGTTATATCATTCACAGGCACTCAAACACGCATGGCCTCACACAAAGCACTTTTCAACCGATCACACGGGTTCCAGAAGACAGGGTGTTCCCTGGAGACACACGAATCGGATGACCTTGAAAGCCAGGCACTGCACAACACCCACATGACAACAACGCAACTGCACCACGACTCGTCGGCCCCACGGCCTGCCCTTTCTCTGTTTTGCCCCGAGGGCTCTACCCAGAATCGTGTTATTCTCCTAGGGGAATTATTGCATGCCGAACATGTCATCTCGAGATACATATCGATGTATACAAAGTGGTACGAAAAAGACAGACCCCCAAAATGTCCAAATTCACTATGTAACATTTTTTACAAAAATAGCACAGAAATAAGGAGGAAACCACAGTAAAAAAAAAATAACAGCGGATGAAACGCGAGGCTTTCATTAATTGGGTGAATATTATTCACTAACTGAAAGGGGGGAAAAGGCCTTCCAATGCAGAGTCGAGTAAAATTCGCTTTTCGTACTGAAAATTACGAGAATGGATTCCCCATTCAATGAAGGCTCGAAAATTTCAACGGAAATTTTACTTGTTCGGAAAACCGGTTTTCCTTCGGAGGGGACTTACTTCCTTCGCAGATAGGTTAAAGTCGATCATTTCAATCCATAGGCGTGTGAATTTCGTTTAACTTACCTGAAAAAATATCGATAGTGTTATGGAAAACCGTTTTCCCAATTTATCTTTCTTCCGTTTATTACTTGTATGTGAAAGCATACTTTCTTCATGTATCCGTAGTAAATGACAGTTCCCCACTTTACTTTTTTATTTACTTACCAAGTCTGACTAAAATCATGGCGCCATCCTTCATTATTTTACAAAAATGCAGATAAAAAGGCTAAACTTCAAGGAAGAAACGTATTAGTAAAGTGAGTAACTTTGTATTAGGTGACTAAAAGGCATATAAGGGTGCAGTGTACGAGAAGGACGAAAAAAGGTAATCCCGACACATGATACGCCAATGGGTACTTTCGTTCGTTAATTAGTCCGATACTCGATCACTTCATTCCTGCATATTGGTTAACGTATAATTCGTAAATGGCACGTGCATAATTTTCTTCTGCTTACGATAATTCAATAACTTCGACCTTGAAGCATTAATGTGCACGACTGACGCGGATAGCGAGGTGTCCAAGGCCACACATCGCTCAAATATTGCCGGCGGGCAGAACAGAAGGAGCTTTGAGAAGGAAATCAACAAGTAATTAGAATAAATCTCCAGTCAAGTAAGGTCGGAAGGTCAAGATATCCAGTGAAAGGGCATCCACTTTGTTGACCCCTTTCCTTCCCTAGGCATCGGGAATTAAGAGATTCACGCAGGAGGAATGGGGGTTTTGTCGACTCAGGCCTCCTGTAGTCAGTCAAATGAATTAAATAACTTACATATTGTTTAGCCACAATCTTTCGGATAATTATATATCATGCCACACTATCCAAGAAAGTTCTGGGGAGAAAAAACTACCTTCCTGATTCGCGAGATACCTGAGGAAGCGGAAACCTCAGATCTTTATCGCTTCAATTTTTTCTAAAACAATCATCTCAAACTCAGATAATTTTTTTTTACCTTTATCTGAAACGTTGTGTGCAGTTTCAGCCTAAGAAAGGGTTACGCCAAACAGGGACCGAAGACCTGGGACATGTCGCGAACACTTCCTTGTTGCACAACTATATATATTCTTCTTAGTATTTAAATTTATAAATTTAAATACTAAGAGGCTTCATCTGGTCGGAAAGTATTCCCAGAGCACCCAAAGGAGAGACAAAGTCCAGCCAAGTTGAACCAGGCGATGGGGGGAAAGGGACGGCTGGGATCGCCTCTAGCGATCAAGGTCGACCAGCCCCAGGGAAATTTCTCGTGCACTCTCTCGGCCTCTGGCCTTGGGGCACCGGCCAAATCTAACTCCATCGAACGGGGAAGGTTTGGAACGAGAGAATGGGAAAACTTCTCCGATATGGATGTATTTCATCGCGCCTCAGTATGGGCATAGAGTGGAAGAGTGAAAAACACCTTGGATTTTAATATGTGAGCCGAAAATACGGCTATAGCCGTCATCCATGTGAACCACCTGTGGGACAAATTGGCCACTGTCGTCCACACATCTCATAATATTAAATCAGCGGGAACATAGCGGGATGTAATTGACTAGACTTAGAATGCTGTCATGGTTGATCCTCCGCGAATTACAGCAATAGGTTTCTGAGAGATCTAGCCGAATTCCAGGTGTTAAGGGACTTAAAAGAACAGCCCCCATGAGGTTTCTGCCAGGGCTGCACATTTTGTCAGTATTAAGAAGTGTGCCAGACCATCGACATTTGAATATCGACTCAGAGGAACGCAGAAGTATGGAATTCTACTATTAGGTGTTACTGAGGTGTTGGGGCTCGTGCTCCCTCTTCATCTTACATGGGCCTTCTGATCCGGATATGAATATTGAAGTCTGCAAAATTCTAGTTTATTTCCCGAACATTTAGGCTTCAACGAAAGTAGCGGAACATTAGGTCAATCAAAGTTATCTTCATGTGGAGTTTCATCGCCGAAGTAAGTATCGTTTCCATTTTGTCTAGAGAGGGAATCTTATAATGTCATGCTGGCCTGCGACATCGTTCTTCACAAATTGCTTCTGCTTTCAAAACCAGTGGAGTCATCCGCTCTACAGGGACGAATACCGAACCAGCTTAATTCCATGAGATGGCACGAGGCAGTCACGGCGGATACGGCTCATACATGAATTTCCCCAAAAAGGACCAGCCACTTCCTGCGTTTGCGTCCCTCACGGAAGTCAGCACGCACATTACGAGCTCAATTTTTAATTATCTATTTTACAACTTGCCATGCTTGCCATCGATACAACTTGGAATCCGGGAGCCGACCGGGGAATATCCACAAGCATCACGGGCGCGATTGCAATAAAATCATTCCTCGCTTCCCGAACGTACACGTTTCAGGGGCCAGCACTTTTGCGCCACCCAGCAGACATTCCACCACCCATTCCCGCGGCAGCACCCGCCAAGAGAAGATCCCGGCAGACAGGATGAGAGGGAAATCGCGTGGTTCCATCCGCATCCTGCCTCGTTTCCTTTCTGTACGTCGACACGCCCATCCATCGATTACCTGACGGAACACGCAGGGCAACGAGCGATGCCGCGCATTTCTTTCATTTCCGTTTTTCCCTGATATTTCCACTGCGATTTCCCCTACGCATTCGACAGACATTTCCACGCGAACACAACGCTCCCGACATCGCATATAACCACGTGGGAACGACCTACAACCACCTGTGCTGGTTCATTCACTCCCTGTTCGATTCACGCCGGACATTAAAGGTTTTGCGCCTATCACAGAAGATTTACTCGCGAAAGTCGCTGCATCGCGCTGCATCGATGAAAAGTCCAAGTCACCATCCACTTCCAACAGCCACGTCGACTTTCCCTCACATGAAGGAGAAAGTGAGTTCCACACAAAGTGCAAAAAAAAAACTGCACACAATCGACAACCTCTCGAACGCGAAGGAAGCCTCTCGAGAAAACAGCATTTCGAACCGTCGCGTTTGATGCTCTTTCAGGGTCGACTCTCGCTCCAAGTCCGTCCTTTCCAATTAGTGCGTTAGCACAATTTTAACACAGCTGTACTTGTTCCCGACCACGAGAGAAAAAAGTACGAAGGCTCAAGATCAAGCCATCGGTGGAAAAACCTGGCGAGTTTCCGACTTCATATTCGCACTGGTCAGGACAAGGCCTCAGGAAGGGAATAGAGAAAAACGATTTAGATGCTTCGAAAAAATGGAGACCGATTTAATGGGATCATATATAAATGCGAGGCGGCGGCCTTGCAACGTGAGAGACGGGAATTAGAAAAAAAATGGCTGCTTCAAATTCCATCCACGTGCATCCAATCGCAAGCTTTCCCATTGACAATAGAAGAAGAAAAATGCCAATATAAAACGAGTGAGGGGTCTATTATTAGCTAAGTATTAGCTAAGAGTGAAAAACTCGAAGAAACGTCACCATGAGATCGAAAGACCACTCAGACCTTTCTCAGGAGGCTACAGCGAATCCAGAACGCGAAATGTCGGACAATCACGGCTCTTCAAAAACACTTCCCGTTTCATTCAGTCCCATCGGCATAAGCGAACGAGCCTCACTCGCAAAAGAGAAAGAGAGAGAGAGAGCCCACCCTTAAAAGATGCAAGAGCGTGTGAAGAGGACATGCGGGCAGGAGGACGCAATACAACATCTACACATGTTCCACCCCACGGTCAACTCCACCCTCCAATCGATTCCATCAGTATTGCATTTGATCAGTGGCGTAACCAGGGGGGATTCGAACCTCCCCGCGGGATCTGAAAACCAGACCAAGATGGGCAAACGGGGAGTGAATCAACCCCCGGGGCAGGCCCAGAGACCTCTCGAGAGCAGCGCGGACGATTCCCCCAACTCTAGTGGGTTGAACCACGAGATACGAAACATGTTCATAAAGGACAAAGTACTTCACTCGAAGATGGAACTGCCCATATCCGATAAGATATGCGTAGCATCCCCGACGCAAAACGACATCCGTACACATCCTGCACGATGAAAGACTCCCCTGGAAAGCAACCCTTCCCCACCGCAAACCCACGGGAAAGAAATCGCCAACACGGATCTCACCGCATAGAGGAGTCCGTTGATGACCCCCACCCCGACGGAGCTCCTCCGAACGGACATGGACGCGATCATCCTCCACTCCTCCATCTCCGGATCGAAGCACTCCGCCGTGTTGAGCCCCGTGGACCCGTCGAACCCCCCCACGGCGTAGATGACCCCGTTGAGCACGGCCACCCCGAGCGTGGAGCGCCGCGCCTCCATGCTCGGCATCTGGCACCAACTGTCGGCCACCGGGTCGTAGATGTCCACCGTGCGGACGCGGAGGGACCCGTTGAAGCCGCCGACGGCGTAGACGAGCCCGTTCAGCACCGCCAGCCCGGCTCGGCACCGGCGCGACGGCATCTCTGCCACCTACGCAGTGGCAGATGACATTTAAACGCGTTGCGCATGCCACTGTCGCTTAAATTTCGGACGGAATTATTTACCTGGTACCAGCGCTCTTCGGCGAAGTCGTAGCATTCGACAGATCGAATAGCTTTCGGAGCCTGGCCACCGACGACCAACATGACTTTCGGAAGTCCGACTGGCTGCCGAGGGCGAGTGCGAGCAGATCTGCAACATCGCGTCAACATTCAACCTATAATTACAGCTGAATGATCCAGAAAAGCAATTTAACCTTTCAATGCAGTAAACTCAACGAAGGAAAATAACATTTGTCTCTACTACAACTGGACTTTTCATGCATTTATTCACCGGTGAAGATTGTATCCTAGTCATAATTTTTCTTCTGTCCATTATGGAAAGCCTCTCGCGCCAGACCTACATTGATTGAAATACTAATAATCTCAAAATGACATGCAAAATATGCCCAGCACATAATAAATAGTTGACTGTGATATTTAAAAAAAGCAAGCTGAAGCCGATTTCGCTAATAATAATAAACTAAGAATGGCAGAATGTATTCATATGGAATGTAGAC